AGGGGTGGAGAGATATAACTATAAGACCTTCATATACATTAAAATGTTAAAAACAGGGCACTTATTTAAGGCCTGCAGGTTTTGCTACCAACAAGAAAACAAATTTGGACCATCTTAGTCTATTGATAATTTAATCTGGAATCAATAAAACTAGCTTATACCCCGCCCGTACTACTTTAATTTCTTCATTTGTGACATTAGGGGTGATCGAATCCAAAATATAACCTGAGCCAGCTGCTGATTTATAGTGATAATTGGAGTAAAACATGCAAAACCGAGAATTAACAAGCAAATCTTTGAATTTGTTGATTTGAGCATTTTCACTATATTTCTTATGATAAACTTAGTAAAACATGTGAAACCGAGAATTAACAAAGAAGAACAAAGAAAAAGAGAGAGTTGAGAAATCAGAAAACTTGAGGGACTCATCGGAATCCACTAGGTCGGTGGTCGATCTAGAGTCTAGAAATCAAATCCAAGAGTCCAAAGGCAGAGAAGCACAGCACTGTAGAAGTGTGCACGTGTTTTCGATTTTTCAGAGGGCGGACTTAAAATGCGGATTTAAAATGCAGTTTAAGTAGTAACACGTCGGAGGGGGAGGGAGGTGATGATCCATCGTCTCTTTGCGGGTTAGATACGGATTTTGATAACTGTGATTGAGTTAGGGAAATATCTTTATTAAAAAAATCTGGGACCCAACATGATTGAAGTGTAGGTATTTTTGGTATGCTTCAGAACGTATAGGTTTTTTTGGTATGCTTTAATTTTTTAAAAATTAATTTCATGGGATAACTACTGCACCTATCCTCTAATCAAAAGAAGTATATTTAAGGAAAAAGAACAGAAAATGAAAATATAAAGATAAATTAATTAGCGGAGGTTATTATTATTTTATTTAATTTATTTATTAAAATATAATATAAATATAATTAATTTAAGTGATTCTTGTATCTTGTATGTATCAATAGTTATATTTTTAAATTCATCTACTTTTAATTTTAAATCAAAAATAATAATTTTGTTATAAACATGTTGAATTAAAATGTATGATTCTTCTAATATGTATCTTAAGAACATAGGTTAAGAACATTTTTTTATCATTAATTATCATAGAAAAATAAAATTTAGCATTTATTTAATTAACTATTCAATGAAAATGATATATATAGCATTAATGATAAAATTAATATCAATTTTTTTATTTTTTATACTAATTAATATAAAAAATATATATTAATTATATTCTTAACTTGTACCCTAAATGTTCAGGTTAAATAAATCTTAAAATATATACTAATTACTATTCTTTTTCATTATTATTCTCTACCAGTAACCTTTTTTCAAATATCATATAGTTATCTAGATTTTGCAGTTTTAATGACATTTTTCAACATAATTTTAAAATTACTTAATGTTAATAAATATAATAAATGTAGTTTAATAATCAACCTAAAACATAAAAGGGAAGTAATTTTAATAAAGACCCTTTTAATCCTCATTCTAAAACATAAGAGGCAACTAAATGATTCTTAATGAAATTACATAGTTTTAGTACTAGGGTATGCAAATTTTTTTCGGTCAAGACTGAACTAGTGAACAACTTTACTGTAGTGATGTACTAGTTGAGTTATTGCATCAAGTGCCCTATTATAGAGTTCATTTTGCAAAGTTATTCTTCAACTTGCTTATATATACACCTTGTTTTACTCTTAACAGTTTTAATAGAATATATTATAAATTTCATATTTGAACCTCAATGTGAAGAGAAGGGATTAAAAATAAAATGTCTATTCAAATTGTAAAGCTTGCATCCTCAAATCATTAAAGAAAAAGAAAGAGGTGCCAAACCAAAATATACATATAATATGGGGAATAATGGTAAACAATTCACAATATATAATATTGAGATGAATAATGACAAATAGAATTAAAAATTTATGTTATATCATTTAAAATATTAAAAAAATTTATATTATTTAATATTTAATTTTTTTATTTTTTTAAAATTTGTAATATTGTATGTATTAATTCTTAAATTTTTGTCCCAAAATTTTATTTTCCATATTATTATTCTGTGGAGGTTATGTGGTTTTAATGACCCCCTTGCCATTGTTATTAGCCCCGGAACCGGGGCCATGGTTGTGTTGGAACCGGGACAAATTCTCACCGGGCGGGAATGTGGTCGGCTTTAAAGAACGAGGGATGATGAGGAGGAGGAGGACCGCCTTCGAAGTTCTTCATCAAGGCTCACATGTGAGGGAACTTTCTGCCTTTCAGTATCCTCATACCAGTGACATCTTCGACTTCAATGGCTCCTATATCCAGCACCTACAAGCTGACCAAAGGCTCAGGACCACCATTCCGATTTTGTCACCTCCAAAGAATTTCATCTCTCCAAGGCCATGCTTTTCAAAAGGCTAAAAATTGTAAGTTATTCCTCCAACAAAATTTGAAAATTGTGAGAGTGTTGACTTTTTAGAAGTTTTTATTACTAAATTTCATTATGGCCAATTGCGGAAACTGGAATATATGGAAAAAAAGGTTATTCCTTCTTGCGATGGAGAATTATGCTGAAAATGGGTGTTTCAGGTTGAGCATCTTCTAAGCTTTGCTCGTATAGATTGGGTGAAAATGTTTAAGTATATCTTCCTGCATTTTTATTCGTTGTTGATTAATTGCACTGATTCCCATGTTACATTATTCGTCATTAATTAATTCATTTTATGTCCAATTTGTGAAGAGGATGTGCCTAGCGTCCGTAGCATGCATCGGATGGTTCAAGTTGAGCTAATGAAATGCATTAATTATTGCAGCTTTCTTTTCCTTCTTATCTATAAAAAAGGGGTACTTGGACCGAGAAAAGCAAATACATACAGCTAACTCCAAGTTCCTGAGAGTGAACAGAAAAAATGCAGAACTACTGGGCTTGGCATCCCCAAGAGTACTGGTATCCCCCTCCTCAGAACAACTTTCCAGGCTACCCTAATCCCCAGAATGACTTCCGAAGTTATGGGGGTCCCCAGAGAAACTATGGAGGCAACAACTATGGAGGCAACAACTTTCATGGCAACGGGAACAAGTATGTGAACGCTCAAGATTACAGCACCAACATAGGCCCCGGTACTGGAGGTAGATTCACAAACATTGGCCCAGGTGCTGGAGCTTCGAACTACGGCCCTGGTGCTGGAGGTATCAACCATAACAATGGTCCTGGGGCCGGAGCTCACAACAGTGGCCCGCGTTCTGGACATTTCAATTCTGGGCCCGGACATTTCAATTCTGGGTCCGGACATATCAACAGTGGTTCCGTCTACGGGGGGGTCAATTTCTAAACGAAAGACTATAATCTGTAGCAGATGTATAAATAAGTGCTGAATGTTTGCTATCTTAATAATTTGATGCTAAGATATTTTATATATGTTGAACTTCCAAGAACAGCAAAGGTATTAAATGTTCAACCCATATTGGTCTTTTGTGGTTAATTTGAGTTGCAATATATCCATTAAATGTGGGTCTTCCGCTAATATCAAGATAGGAATCTTTTTTAACTTAAATATTAATGTTTATAGTTTGGTGCAATATGATCTATAAAACACATTTTATTTTGGTTAAAAACCTATAAAACACGATTTTTTTTAATTAGCACATGCAAAACACTTTTTTTATTGAGGAAATTGTTCTTAATAACTGTGAAATTCTTGACGGAATTAACATAAGGAAATCACAGAGAAAAAACATAGAAAAACTAAAAGTCATCACCTGTAATTGATTGAAATTAGAGAATCCCAATTACATAGCCTCTTGGGCACTAGGAATACCAGAAGATTGAAATTTTCGAATTTATAGGGCCTCAAAGCTACAACCTTTGGGTTTGGATTTTAGAATCGATTCCCCTAACCCCCAAAAATTTTATTAGTTCACAAAGAGCCCTCGTAAATTTTCTTTCACTAAATTTCCGCCTCAAATTGATCTCAGCTTAGGGAGGTAATCTTCTTGCTTTTTTAAAACGTATTTATTTTTTTCCAAATTGTTTTATAAGCACTTTATAAAGTTGTATTACAATGATGTTTTTCTCCAATAATATATCATAAATAACAACTTGACTTAATTGATATTTACTAATTTAAAACATTGGATTTGTGATTATTCTTAACTTCTTGTAAGGAAGAAGCTATAATGAACCTCAATTATCACATCAGTGAGGCATGTTAATTATGTTAAGCATCTTCGAAGATTTGTTGTATAGATTAGCTGAAAATGGAGAAGCATTTTGTTGTTGATTAATTAATAATCCCCACCCCATGTTCCAATTAATATGTTATGTCAATAGTTATATGCTATAGCATCATATGCTTCACTCAAGAAGTTGTGGTTTAGGTAAGGAGATTTGTTCTCTGCTTTATTGATCAAAATTCGATTTCTCATAAATTCTCTAGTTTTAACATAAATAACTTGTCTTTGATTAGATTTACAAGAAATTAGTTTTGAAATATATACAAAATAACCAAGAGACATCCTGACATCTAAAAAAAAAAAAAAAAAAAGATACTTAAGGTTGAGCTAATGAAATTGGTCAATAATTAATGCCGATTCCTTTTCCATCCTTATCTATAACAAAATGGAAGCACTTGGTGTCCCTGAGTCAACAAAAAAATGCAGTACTACTACTGGCCTAGGAGTTTCGAAATTCAAACGTTACTCCTTGGTATCCCCCTCGGAGCAAATTTCAATGCTACCCTTATCCTCAGAATGACTTCCGAGGTTATGGGGTTGTTCCGAGCTACCTCAGAAACGAAATTTATGGCAACGACAACAACTTTCAGGATTACAGCAACAACTATGGCCCCGGGGCTGGGCGTAGAGTCAAAAACGTTGGCCACGGTGCTGGAGCTTTGAAAGTTGGCCTTGCTGCTGGAGCCTGGAAGCATCAACCATGTCCATAACATAGGTCCTGGCGCTGGAGCTATCACCAGTGGTCCTCATTCCGGAGCTATCAACGCCGACACCGTCCATTGGGGAGTCAATTTCTAGATGAAAAAAACATTTATTCCGCAGCAGATGTTTATAAACATCAGTACGCTAACATCATATTAATATAAGTAAGTGCTGCATATTTGCTAACTTTATTTGAACTTTGAAGCCAAGATATTCTATGCAGTTCAACATATTGACACACTCTGCTCGTCTCTTCAACTATTCATTATATAAAACAAAAACGATTCATTGATGACATTAATGTTGATAACAAAATCTCACAATTTGACATGGTTGAATTATTTTTATTGGCTATTTTTACCCGGCAAATGTGTAAATGAATAATCCTTTTTGAGTCTCTTGTTTTCCAGTGCTAACTATACCTAACTACAAAATAGAGATCATTAGAAAAAAAAGTGCCTCCAATACTAAATGCCCGTTTGGTGTGACTGAAGTTTTTAATAGAAGTTCTGTTAAAAAAAACCTGTTGTAAAAGTTTTATTTTTATTAATAAAAAGAAAAATAAAGATAAAATAAGAATAATATGTTAATTTCATTAAAACATAAATGAGAAGCTCCTGTAGAAGCATCCATTCCATGTTTCTAAGATTTGCAATGTAATGAATAAAAAATTAACATGTGAGAAATTGTAACATTTTTCATAAATTGTAATATTTGGTGTAATTGAAATTTTTGAAGTTCAAAAAGACTAACTACCAGCTATACCAAACATAGCCTAAAAAGCCCATTTTCCATCTAATGGTAAGTATTACGAGGTTCAAATTCCATAAGACTTTCCTTCTTTCGATCGTTAATGTTAATGTAATATAACTGTTATGAAAATAGAGTCCAAAACCATTTTATTTCGACTTCAACCTAACGTGAGGCCCAAAGGAAACCAGATGCAGAAGTAGCTGAGAAAGACGTCGCCGGAAGGGTAAGTGCAAGGGGAGGAAAAGAGCCGGCCTCCAACCATTTCTTGCTTTAACTTTGAATCAGACAATCCATTTTCCCATGCACTATGTGTACCTTGCAACCGTAGCCTTTCTGCGGTGGCCACTTGAATCGTGCAAATGAAGAGGATGAGGAAAGAAAGCAAGCTGAGGGGGAACAGAAGATTGAAAATGATGTCTATTGATGATAAGATGAAATATGGGGTGTACATTAAGATGTATTTCGAATTTCAACACATTAAACTCGGCTTCTTGCTACATATTTATTTCTCTAGGATGGAACAAGACAAAGCAGTGTCATCAAGCTTGCTTGAATGGAACAGAAAAACATTTCACCGTAGAGATGCAGCACAAAAACAAAGATGGGGAAACAATGTCACCAGACATCAGGTCGGAGCTCACCAGTCGCTGGGGGCATCCATCTCCCAGAATTATAGACACTTTCACCAACCTTCCATCCGGGAACATCTTTCATTACTTCAGCCTCATATTCAAGATATTTCTTCCACTCTTTGACAAATCTGAAGATAGAAAACAGGTAAGTGAAGAGTCAAATTCTATGGATGGGGATGTGAAAGAACAAATGAGTAGGAAGAGATCTACAATTCACCTTTCATCTTCTTCGGCCTGAAGCAAGGGCAATATTGCTCTGCGTGCAGCATACTTCTCCTCCTTGAGTGCCCTGCATGGGACAACTACTTCAATCCAAGTATCCATGATGAAAAAGAAACAGTTAAAGAACAACAATGACAGTAAACATGACAGTACACAGTAAATGTTCAAATTATCGACGTCAAATCAACCTCTATCACATACTTGTTGCTTATTAAGGAGAAATG